TTTTTTGGTGGAACCAGGGATTGAACTTAGGCCCTTGCGCTTGCCAGGGAAGTGCTTATTCCACTGAGCCATCTCCCCAGCTAACTGTTCCTATATGTAGCTATGGGCTTGTGAGCAGATGGGTCTTTGTTACTGAATAGCCATCTCACTTCCAACAGACATGTTCTCAGTGTCCTGAGTAAGACCAAAGAAGCTGCCAAGATTCTCTCCAATAATCCCGGCGAGGGACTGGCCCTGGGAATTGCCAAAGCCTGGGAGCTGTATGGCTCAGCCAAGTAAGCATGTGAAAAAAAGTGGTCTGCGCATAGTGGTACACACCTGTAATCTTACCACTTAGGAGGATGAGCTGCAAATTCAAGGCCAGCCTGAGTTCAAAGCCTGCCTGAACGACATAGTGAGTCCCTGCCTCAAGGGAAGGAGAAAAAAGTGGCAGCAGTATCCTGCTTTAGATTCAGCATTCATGGGTACAGCAATTTCTTTGCTTGACATCTTTAGGGGATGAAGGGATTTTTCTGGGAATAGAAATTTATACTTTGAAATCCCAAAATTATATTAATGGATTTTTCCACTGTCATCTTAAATAAGCAGTACTGGGCTTGGTGGCACATGCATGTCTGTGCTAAAGCAGGAGATCAAAAGTCCAAGCGCAGCCTGGCAAACTTAGCAAGACCCTGTCTCAAAATAAAAAAGGGCTGGAGATGTAGCTCAGTGCAAAGGTCCTGGATTCAATCCCGGTACCAAAACAAAAGGGGGAGGGCGGAGGTATAGTTTGGTGGTAGAGTACTTAACCTAACCTGGGTAGGTTAACAGCACACGGAAGGCCCTGGGTTCCATCTCTAGCAATGGAACAGTTTAAAAATAGATCACTTAGTTAGCTGAGGAATGCTGACGATAATTTAACCTTTGTTGTTGGCTGGGTATCATGATTTTCAGTGATTGCATCCTGTTGAAATACAGTGGTGCCATCTAGGGTTAGAGAAATATTTAAGGCTTTTCACCTGTACCAGTAACTTCCCTGTTGGGCTTTAAGCTCTCATTCATTTTCTTTATGGTTTTCTGGTCTGTTTCCCAATTATCAGCTCACACTTTTTACAGATGTCTGTGTGCTTAAATTTGAAATCATTCACTACCATCCCTGTACCGCCTTTCTGTTTGTTATGATTTGGGTAAACAAGTGACCCAGGTTAATGATTGTGTGTAAAGAGTGAGAGACCCTCTTTGACAAAGAAATTTATAAGCTTTGACTTAATAGTACATTTTAACTGCTTTTTGCTTTCTCCAAATTTTCAGCCATTCCAGATGTCTGAACATAAATGATTTAATTAATGGCTGCAAAACTGTTATTGCAATGTTAATACGACATTAATAGTTATCTCTTAATGAGGACTTAATAATGCCCCACCTTGTGTGAAGTAATTTATGTTCAAGGTCTCAATGAATCCTTGTAGTAAATGCTCTGAGGTAGGTAGTTTATAGATGAGGAAACTCGGGTTCTGAGAAGTGAAGTGAAATGAAGATCAAACAGTGAGTTGGCGGCAGAACAGAGTGTACCCCCTTCCAGACCCTGCATTTTTAATCACTCTGGCCTTGAACAGATCCTCTTTGGGCTTCCTAAGCCTCACTAAGACCTAGGAGACCTCAAGCTCTGAGCATTCAGAAGTCACCAGAAAAATACTTCGTCAAGAAGCACTCATGGCCAGCTTGCATTTTAAGAGACTGAAGCCAGAGACGGGTCAGTGAGGGAACTGTTGGTGGGCAAGCAGTGCAAAGGGCTTCTCCTGCCAGGCTGTGAACAACATGAATTTGGCACTGGTGGGTAAAAGCTATGTGGCACCTCAGTCAGAATTGGGTTCTCCCGTTGAGAGAGAGGGACAGGCTCTTCTGCAGACCCAGCATGTGACCTAGGCAAGACAGATCTTTTCTCTGAATTTTAGTGTCCTTATTTATAAAGTAAGGGTAATCATAATACCTACAGGGATGGAAGTGAGAATTAAATGACATTATGGATCTTAAAAAAGCTTTTAAAAACTTAATGTTGTTCATTATGTGATATATTCAATAGTAGTGGTAATAATAATAAAAATAGTAAGTACTTTAGACTTCTGATAGTTTTATTTTGTACAAACTAAGGCCCAGAAAGATTCAGTAACTTGCCCAAAATTATACAACTAATAAGCTTAGACTTATCTGCCTCTAAAGCCTGGCTTTTTACTGCCTTGAAGAGGTATAGTCCCATAGTATGGATTCTGCTCTCAAGAATTTGTAGAGCAAGGCCAGCAAGATAGCTCAGCAGAGTAAGTGCCTGCCAAGGCTAGCGCAGGGACCAGGTTTGATCCCAGGCACTACATGCCGCACTGGCCCCACTGTCACTGGCATGCTGAGCCTGCCACTGAGTACCGGCATGGTAGCACATGCCTGTAATCCCAGTGCTGGAGAGGCTGAAAACGGGAAGATCACTACAAGTCTGAGTTGCGTACTGAGACCTTATACTAAATACATAAATGAAAAAAAAAAAAAAAAAAAGAATTTGTAGAGCAGATGAATTTTTGTTAATCATTTCATGCTTTTGATGTTTTTTTAAGGAAGCCTGTAAAAGCACAGTGGCACATGCCTGTGATCCCATTACTCTGAGGCAGGAGTTGAAGGCCACCCTGGGAAATATAGTGAGTTCAAAGCCAGCCTGAACTACACAGTGAGACTTTTCTGGGGAAAAAAAAATCAACTCCCCCCAAGTAAGCCTGTACAATGAATTATTTTAATTTAGATAAATTCTTTCAAGTCAGCAATCTTGGAATTGGAATGAATAGAATAAGAAAAGGGGGTTCTTGGTACTAAATGATTAAGAACTGTGATCTAATTAGCACTCATTACATACATAAGAAAATTAGGGCCCTAGGAGAGAAAGAAACTACCTTGCTCAAGGAGAATAAGAGTGGAGCCATGACTAGTACCCAGAGAGAGGTCTTCCCTCCCAGCAAGTATGCCCCTGCCTTCTCCTTGGCTGACAGCTCTCCTAGTCCTACTCAATTCATACTGCTCAGAATTGAGGGCAGGAGGAGATACAATATGTCTTCTGGTCTGGCTTCCTTTGGTAGGTAGCAGGCTAACTTAATAAGGCAAAGCATGAAATTTTACCTAAACCTATAGCCTCCAGCCTTCCTCCTCCACCTCGTCTTGGAACTGGGCCACCTGGGCCAAGTGCCACCCTCCTACACACTTACCCTTGAGCAGAGCAGGTCAGGTTGCAAAATGAAGAGCAAGGCCTTTGGCTTTCAGGGCAAGATGGCTTATGATAGCACCACTCCTAGCTTACCACTCAGATGTCCAGCTCAAATCAGGATTTACATCTGACCTCATAAGATTTCAGGCAGGCTGGCAGAGGGACATATTAAGACCTATATTTTGGCCAAGTGGAAAGAAGTTAGGCAAATAGTCTAATCCAAGAGGTTCAGCCTAGGTAGGGAGAAGCTGAGACAAACAGATAAGAGGCAAGTACTGGAAGTCAGAAACAGACACTTAGCATCCTAAGCCAAAGTCTGGGTTTCTGCAAGGTCTTAGCGAGAGGTCATAAGCCTAATGCAGTATAGATTCAGTAAAAATGAGTTTGGTGCTGCTAAGCATTGACATTATAAATCTGGTGAGGGACCTGATCTCTTTGACACCTAAAACAGCTGAACTGAGGGCTAGGCATGGTAGCACACATCTGTAATTGTAGTACTTAGGAAGCTGAAGCAGGAAGATCTCCACAAATTTGAGGCCAGCATGGGCTACATAGTAAGTTCCATGCCAACCTACATAGCATGATCTTGTCTCTGCAAAACCCCCCAAACAAAACAAAACATGATAGCTTAACTGGCAACTAAACAGATATTTCTCTGGTATGAGTTTTTCCCTCAGTACTGAAACCCCTGCTTATTCAAAAAAACATGAGTAAATGGCGAGGAATGGGTCCAGTAAGCCCCAGTTTGCCTATTAATACCATGAGACCAAACATAACCCTATGAACATCACAAAAGTATTGGGAGGCCCCCAGAAATAATGCCTTATTTGTAACCGGCTTTATGAATTTCTATAGGGTTCCATTTAGCTAATCTAACAGTGCATGCAAGATGCCCATTCTTCCATGATATGCTTTGTAGTATAGTGATTGAGTCATTAGCGCCTGACTCCTACTATTGTTTATTTACAAAATATTCTGATCCCCACTCCTCACACACACACACATACACATTGGGATGGAATACAGGGCCTTTGCACTGAGCAACACCCCCAGCTCTTTTTTATTTTTTATTTTGAGACAGGGCCTTGCTAAGTTGCTGAATCACTTAGGCTGGGCTTGAACTTGAGATCCTCCTGCCTTGGACTTCAGAAGTGCTAAGATTAAAGTTGTGTACCACCATGCCTAGCTCAAAGCATTTGTCTATATTCCCAATTATTTATTCTTTCAGACATGAAAATCATGTTAGAAATGAATCATTAAATTCTAAGAAACCAAATCCTTTATGGTTATGAGATGTTTTTAAATCTAAATTTTAATTTGTACAAAAATTGACATTATAATATTTCATCTACTCACTGGAGGAAGTATATAGTTCCACTTTTTTTCCCCCAAGTTTCTTATTTTCAGAAAGTAATGTGCTATAGCCTCAGGTGTCTTTACCTGAGACAATCTAGAGTTGAGGGAAACTCAGCTCTTTCTGGGAAGCTGTGTTCTTTTATTTCTAAAAAGAATAAAACAGAGGAAGGATAAGCCCTGTAGCAGCCTCAGGCTACCTGTGTTTTTTTCGCCAGTGCTGTGGTGCTCCTGATTGCTCAAGAGAAGGAAAGGAACATATTTGACCAACGTGCCATAGAAAATGAGCTACTGGCCAGGTAAGTAAAAGAGGACCTCCAGGGATGCTGTGCCAGAGGGAGGAACACACTCAGAACATGGGGCCCACTGCCTTTGCCTCTTGTTCATTTTTCCCAGGAATATCCATGTAATTCGGCGAAGATTTGAAGATGTCTTTGAGAAGGGGTCTCTGGACCAAGACCGAAGGCTGCTTATGTAAGCATTCCCAAAGACCCACTGGTTGTCTGGTTTATAAGTCTCCTGCCACCCTCTTTTCCCATGATAGGATGGCTCATTTTCTTCTCTCTTAAGTCTTCTCTCCTAATTATTCTCTCCTCTCCTCTCCTCTCCTCTCCTCTCCTCTCCTCTCCTCTCCTCT